AATTTCAGCAGTCACACGCAAAACGGTTTAGTGGCACTAGTGCAGTCCGCCCCTTACCTTCAAACAAAAGTGGACTACTGAACAATGCAAAGGTTTTAGATATCTAGTACATTATTGTACCGCTGTTAGATTTTATTAACAATGAAAGAACCGAAATAGCGATTACTTCTAGAGACCCAGAACAAGAACCCGTTGATGAATCCAACGTTACTGCTTGGTAGTCACCGTTTAAAACTTCCCTCTTATATCCCATCAAGTGTTTCCATCAGGTAGCGGGATGAACAAGAACCAGATACACGAGAAATGGGAGTAATTATCGTCTCTGACGTGGTATGCAATCAGCAAGCGTTGGCCCACGTATGGAGGAAGAAAATCAATTCGGATTTTCGACAGGGTTTCCTGGGTAAGTGGATCAGACAAACATACATTCGCTCGTTAGCTTACCTGTTTCAGGTGGATCGTAGTGCAAACATAACAGGTTTCCAAGGCTTTATCCCCTGTACATGCATTTCCATGATCTTTTATTAGCTGTGGAGGGTAACTTCCTTAGTTATTTGAGTTGTACTGCGGCCCAACGACCGAGGTGGATTTGCGTTATTTCGTGAGGAACACCGACGGTACATTTGGCAGAGACAGGGACGTTTCTTAATTCTAAGGTCATCAGCCGTGAATATCTCAAAGCAACAGCAGCTGACAAGCAGACGTAGTCATGTACTTCCGATTGGAATGGAAGGTGGCACAGAGAGTGAAGCATTAAAGGTATGAAGTACAGTTAGAATAGTGAACGTTACCTGTCAGCTTTTGTGGTGCTGATGGGAGTTAGATTCTACTTGCGGTACATTTCAAGCTTTAATCGATGGCGATGGCACTTGGAACCGATCGAAGCAACACACAAGTATAGCGATCTAATGCTCACAATTCATGGTCACGGTAGAAGCAATGAGAACGTGGTAGGAAGCAAGCATACCACACAGCGAGGATTGTTGCAAACTATAGGTCCCGCTTCACACGAAGATTGGCAAAGTTCGTGACAACTGATAACTGATCGTCCTTCACGAAAAGGCGTCATGTAGTGCCACCCAAGAACTTATGTGTCGGTGGGACAATAAAAGAGGGCTCGGACGAGCTAATTAGTAATAAGGAATGCCATCACGGTGGTTGGGCGGAACACATTCGAGAGAAGTTTAGTTGATCCATCCCTCCTGGACCTATTTATGCCCCGGTGTCACAGGCCGGACCATGGTCGGGTAGTCCAGAGTGTCCATTGGGGCTGAGATTCGCAACGCAACCACAACCATTAGTTATTTTGCTCTGCTCGTTTAGATTCTATAGCACCCGAAATGTTTAGCGACGGTGGTGAAGTCCTCCACAAAGTAATGACTCCCTGTGGGAACAGGTCTGGAAGGAACAGACCATCCCAGTCAATTAGAATGAATCCTTCATAGTTGTACAGGTAAGAACGGCAGTTTCACCGAATGTACTAAGCGTAGGAGTATCGGCCTAAGGTCGGTTGTGGTTAAACTAGTGGCTGTAATTCTCGTCCATCGTTTGATTGTGGACCTTAATTCAGGAGTATGGACCAGCAGGCAGGTTACCACGCAGGACAGTTATTGTAACAGTGATACACGTACAGCAGACCGCATAAGTGCATTCGACTCAGTCGATCTGTCCATTCTGTTCGATATACTTGCGCGCAAAGGGGCTCCCATGAGATCTGTGAACAGGTCGCGTTTGGGTCTATGAGGACTAGTCGGATGTCTTTCCGGGGACAATAGGCATTGGCTCAGTTGGTTCCATTTTTGTTCCCTTTCTTCGTGGAGTGTTCCCTTGTGGAATTTCACGATGCAGACATTGAGTTGCCATCTGGGAGAAAACTAGTTGATATTGCTTATACGAATGACGTTGTCTTGCTGTTTTATAACCTCGCGGTGGCCTACTCAATCTTGGATAAAGTCTCGAGTGTGCTCCTAGCATTCGGAATACGCTTCACGTCCTCGAATTGCAGTGTTGATGCAGGACCGACAGCCAATTGATCTCTTGATCCTTGAGTACAAGGAACTGGAGGTAGTTGATCTATTGACCTAAGTTGGCAGCTGTGTCATCACGGATTTGATTGTGAATGCTAACACTAGTTCATATATTGCGAAAGCTAAAACCGCCTCCATGAACACAAGACATCTGGGATGTCAAAAGGGTCTGGAAAACCATGTGTACGAGGCCACAGTGAGGGCCGTCTTATTGTACGACCTGAAGAATTGATGCCCTTACAAATCTTTAACCATCGTTGCCGGATGGCCCTTGGCATATTCGCGACAATGACTTGTGCAGGCTGTCAGTGCGCGTTGATAAACAGGGTAATTCCGCTGTGGAACATCTAACGTTGAATAACTCACGTCGGTCTGGGCACATGTTGAGTATGCCGGAACATGGCCTAACCAGATGGGGCTTCATTCGTTTACCGGATGTTGGATAGCGTGAACCTCGATGTGAGTAGAAGTTAATTTGACAGCAGAAAATGAAGTCACTGGCTACTAAAATGGGTGCTGTTGGTCCGTCTCGCCTTCTAGATTGGAGTTCACGCTGCACGCCTTTTACTTGGATAGAAACTTTACAGGGTAGGACTCACGGTCGTCACCAGTGACAAGTTTGCTGTGCCTGATGCTGTCACCTGCGGGGTGTTGGCTGCCTTACCGATGCTGTCTTATCCTCGTACGATCGCAGATGTTTTTGACCGTGTGTTATTGACAAAATGTAGGCACCATGACTCGAAATATCTGCTTAGGGTAATTAAGCTCTACACTAGATTCTCCTCTCTCTATACTCCATTACCGGCGTCATTATAGTTTTGGGGCAGTGAAGTATCGGTTTGTAGAACTGGCGTACTGTTGTCTTTGTTGACGATAGTCTAGCAACAGCCAGCATAAAACTAGTTTGACAACTGGAAGTATGCAGTCACCGATAAGACGGAGGCGATAATTTGTAGGTGTCATTTTGTTCGTCGCAATCAGCCGACAATTCAGATAAGTCAAGTACCTATCCGGAAAATCACCAGACGGCCGTTTTGACCTATTGGGGTTCGTCATTGGTGCGCATCCTTCGGTCCTCTACGGAGGATCGAACCCATGACTGCTAGTGGCTTGTGCCAACTAGCCTGCAGCTTATGCAACTGCGCCATAGAGGACGGTAGCCGATCATCACGAATTGTTAGCTAACTGCGAAATAGCCCGACCCATCCTACACCGCCATACAGATGACAACGGTTGGTCTTCCGGCATCAGGAATTCCCGGTTACGGCAGCTATGAATCAACATAGTATTTTATGGAATCCGTAAGGGCGAACTTGTATTACTTATGGGTAGAAGGATTTTGGTGAGTATTTTTGTTCGTCAGTTTATGCTTATTCACAGGTGCGCCGTAGAGCTGTCCCTCGCAATTATCACTTCACACAGAAGCGCAAATTCTAGCATCCCGTTGGGTAGAAGATAGCGTGCAGCAAGCTCACAATTTGAGTTCGGGTCACTGTTTCTCGCAAACACAACTGCAACCGTGTCCCAGCTTATCTGCTGGCCGAGCAACTGTGTGAGTGTTTGCTCAGATGACATGTACCATCTTATTCAGATGACTTTCGCGGAATGTGGAGAGTTGAGCAAAAAGGAATGCGTCATGGAAGAGTTAAGAAACTACAACGGGCAGCACAAACAGTACTTACGGAGAAGTTTTAAACTGTAATGTTTTCACTCAGTGGGAGAAGTGATGAAAAATGACAATTCGGCGCAAGGTTAACTGGCGCTCACCGAGCTCAAACAAGAGGTATTTGTTTAGTCAAGAGAGTATGGAAAAATAGAATGTCACCTAACATGCGTGTAGATTGAAGTGCAGAATAGTATTGGTGGGATGAGAGGAGAGACCGGATCACAGTTGAGATGGGCCATCTGATGGAACCGGAGAAAAGAACAACATCGAGCAGATTGCATGTTCCAAGAGAAAACCAGGGCTTTCAGTCCGATGAATGAATAAATGCAGATCGAAATTTGGAATGACAGGACTGTGTGTAGCTCGAATTGCGAGCTCCGCTGATATAGAAAGAAAGCAAGAGGGGACCGGCACATACACAATAATAATAATAATAACAAATGTGAAACACGTCGAGGAGGATGACTGTAGAAATTTCAATGCATGCGGGAAGCGCATCTGGATCTGGTGGAATGACAAAGGGCACAAACAAGAAGTGTAGAGGTTGAACGAGACAAGAATGTACAACATGACGTGAGGGAAATTGATTTTAGACGGGATCCACTGATGACGGATTCATGGGTCCGGCGTGGGGGTGTGGCGAGTTAGATGCTCCAGCTATGTCTGACTCATAAACGTGGTAACAGTGAAGGTAGCGTCGATGTTGCGCAGGTCGAGGTTGCTGCCGATTCGAATCGTATCCGGCAAATTCTGTAGTCAGTGTGTTGATCGAATGCAGCGTGTCAGGATACTCGGTAGTATCGCCACTGCGAGAAGATGCGGGTAACAGGAATGCAGACCTAGGACCAGAAGCTTTTACTTCAATGAGGTCCTGTGGATCGATGCGTGCCGGGACCGGAGGACACGGATCACTGGGTTGGCGAGGCGCGGGTTTAGTGCTACGGGCAAGAAAGGCAGCAGTCTGAGCGCTTTCCATGCACTGCTCCACTTCGGTCAACATCTGAACAAGCTGCATCTGACTATACTCAGAGCATTCAAAATCATCCGCCATGATACAATGGTTGGAAAGCGGAGCAGTTTTTGAACTAGGCGTCTGCTGTCCTTTGCACTGGTAAACGGCCTTGAGTGATTCTTGATGGAGTTGTGAGACGAGCTGCAAAGTGACAGATTGCGGAACACTAAAGCGAGTAGAATGTGCGGGATCAGAGCAATGAGGGATAATAAATGTTACGTTCCAGTTCAATCCGATTTAACGATCTCCTTCAGAGAGTAGAAACGCAGTAGAACGAAATACCAGGTATGCGAAATGGGGAGAAAAATACCGCTGGATTACCAAATAGGAGTGAGACTAAATACATGCTATTTTTCGACCCCTATACCGCGCCACATTCGATGAGAAACCTAACCGCTGATTTGACCAACTCCGTGCGAAATACCCAGGAGGAAAGCGTGCCGTCTGGATCCAATGTCGTGGTCGGCCAGTTCATACATTTTCGCTTCAGGTCACTAGTGATCCAGCACGAATAAGTACCTAGGCAGCCAACATCTGAGCAGGTAGCTGGTAAACTTCCGAAGAAGGTAGCTCAATCATAATAATAGAGATAAGTTTATCCGACTGCCCAGTGCCAACATGGGGACAATGGAACAAAGGGTTATAATGGGCAAAAGAGCACAGGTTTAGAAAGATAAACAAAACACGAAGCTTTAAGCGAACAATTGTTTTCGATTAATTCTTCTTCAGGCTCATACTGTAATATACATTAGGGTAACGTCTGTTGCAATCGTCAGTATAACAAAGAAACAATTGATCAGAAAATTTAACTTGTGATCATGATGGCAGTCAGCTGATCACACGACTGAAGTCAGGTGAAGTTGCGGAGTACCATTACTTCCTTCGCGGCTGGTGGTCGGCCAGGGAAGTTGTAGTGTTTGTATCAGCTAGAAGCACTTTCACTCGGTCTAAAATTTAGCCATCCGCAAAAGAAATACGATCGTGTTGAAATAGAAACACAGTTTGAACACCTAATCAAGCAGACGAACGACTTGGTGGCCAACTCTGATATGGAACTTGAACAGTTCAAATCAACTTTGGTCAACGTTTCTTTTCAATACCAAAGACAACCAATAGAACACCATCGACTACTGACAAAAGCGCACCTTGATGCTTCGAGAGAACTTCAGAAAAAACGAAGATCTCATCATAACCAAACCAGACGAAGGATCTGGGACTGTGCTGATGGATCGTGCTGATTACATCAAGAAAATGAATATGATACTGTTGGATACTTCACGTTTCGTGAAATGTGAACAACAGAAAGATAAAACAGAACGTGCATAAAACCAATTGGTCAGGTGTTTAAAATCACTAGTGAACGACGGCGCCATCACCAAAGAGACGTATGACCGACTACGTCCCATAGGCTCCACTACTCCTCGCCTTTATGGCCTTCCAAAAATACATAAACCTGACACACCATTGAGACCCATACTAGATATGAGGAATTCACCGCACCACAACATTGCGCAATGGCTGACAAAAATGCTGAATCCCATCAAGCAAATGATTGCTCCTCATAGACTGACAGATACATTTCAGTTTGTCAACGACCTTCGAGATATGAATGTCCAAGAGTTCCGGATGTTTTCCTTACACGTTGTTTCATTGTTTACCAACGTGTCTCTGATAGAAACAGTTAACTACCTGTGCTCCTACATTGATCAGCATGGCATAAACATCGGTATAAGAAGCAAGCAACTGAAACAACTGATACTCAGATGTATGTACAATGTTCAATTTCAATTCAATAGCGAGTTTTATAGAGAGGTTGATGGCGTTGCAATGGGATCTCCGCTTGGGCCATTGTTAGCGGATATTTATATAGGAATGCTAGAAAGCGGTCCATTAAAGCAGGTCATATCGGGTCTGAAATTCTATCGGCGCTATGTGGATGATATATTTTGTATAAGTGATCGGACCACCAAACCCCAGGATATAATCGACTGTTTCAACAATGTGCACCCCAATGCCGCATTTACAGCTGAGGAAGAAAACAAGAACAAATGAATTTTTTAGATACAAGTCTTATCAGAAGAACCGATGGATCAATCTAAATAAAAGTATACAGGGAATCATACTGGACGGGACAATACATGCACTTTCATAGTTTCGCCCCACTCAGCCAAAAAGAACACTGGTGCGAGCGCTAACCGATCGGGCATACAAAATCTGCAGCGAAGACACCATAAAAGCCGGACTCGTACGAATCAAAGAAACGATTTTCGAAAATGGATATCCGGAGCGATTTATCGAGACCCATATGAAGCAATGCATACTAAAAGTATCAAAACAAACCGTTGAAAAGAAACAGCTTTACCTGACACTTCCATTCAAAGGAAATGGTACGGCTGAGACATGCACGCGTCGACTAGAGCAAAGCTGCAATAAGACCTTTAATGCGGCTCAGCTGAATGTGATTTTCACGAGCAGACCTTTACTAGTTCCGAGATTTAGAGCCCGAGTGCCTGATCATCTCCAATCAATGTTAATCTACCCGTTCGCCTGCCCGTGCGGGGCCAGGTACGTTGGACGCACGACCAGGAATTTAGGTAAGAGAATTAAGGAACACCTCCCAGGTTGGCTCTACAATCGCGAGAATAGGATAAACTGCAGTGCGATCACAAACCATCTAATCAACACAGGCCACCAGATAAACAAACGAACATCCTTTCAGATTCTCTACAAAATACCACCAAGGCAAAACCATCGTGTAAGAGCAAGCCTACTTGCCACCGCTGAGGCAGTATGCATACGCCTAACAAATCCGGACTTGTGTGTCCAGAAGAAGCTGATACAAACACTACAACTTCCCTGGCCGACCACCAGCCGCGAAGGAAGTAATGGTACTCCGCAACTTCACCTGACTTCAGTCGTGTGATCAGCTGACTGCCATCATGATCACAAGTTAAATTTTCTGATCAATTGTTTCTTTGTTATACTGACGATTGCAACAGACGTTACCCTAATGTATATTACAGTATGAGCCTGAAGAAGAATTAATCGAAAACAATTGTTCGCTTAAAGCTTCGTGTTTTGTTTATCTTTCTGAACTTGACGTTACAAATGGGCATTCTGCTTGAGTTGAAGCACAGGTTTAACATGTCCGTTAGGTCAGTAGTAGAAGAAACTGAAGTTGAAATTAAGATAAGTGGATCAAATGCAATAACCATCATGGAAGCGACAGAGCAATGACGTATAGGAGGTGAGTTGTGGGAGTGAGATAGTGCCGGACTAAACAAAACAAAATATTGTTACTGTCATTATTCATCGCTAATAATGAGCAGATTGCTCACTCCTTTGCACAGATTTACGTGCGACACCGAGGATTATAAATCCCAAAAGGCTAATTAGCCTGAATATATCCATAAGATCAGCTCATGTAAAAAGTATAGTGTTCAGTGCGATATCCGATCGATTTTGAAAAGTCTAGGGTTTGGAAGTGCATTCCCCAGGGTTGGCAGACCCGGAGGGTACTGTTAACTCGGATGCAAGCCATTGCCTCTGAGGTTGACGTTCGGGCTAAGTTTTAAAAGGTGGCAGTATACGTGACTGGGGTTGCTCAGTATTTGGTAAACTAATATAAAGTCTTCATGCAGCCACTGGTAGCGTCCATTGAACGCTCCGAGTGACCTCAGTCGTTGCTGGTAAAGGAAGATGGCGCAATCCCTTGCAAATTTTCGTTGCTCGATGTTAGGAAGTTTCCACCGCCCCAAGGTCCCGCTTTAGACAAAGTTGCTAAGTTTGGATTGAGTATTCTACGTGAGGACTCACGTAAGCATTGAGCATCAGCGAGAAGATGGATGAATTCAAACTTCCGAATGCCATCTGCAAGAGACCAACATGCTGGTTACCGTCTTCAGAAGTGGACACTGACTGTCTGGGACATCCGAGATTGTCCTGCACCAGTACGCCGAGGTCACGTTCCTGAGAGCTTGTCTGCAGATCATTCGTCCCTATTTTGTAGCTATAGGCGTGTCGATGGCGCGTTTAGATAACGCGGCAATTGTCCACACTGAATGACAGCGCGTCCCTCAGCAACTAATTCCAGGCCTCATCGAAGTTGCGCTGGAGGAGCTATTGGCTGTCCAATCCATTGATTGCACGCCAAACCTTAAGGTCATCCGAGAAGAGTAAACATCATGAGATGATAACTCTCTTTAGATTGTTAATAAAAACTAAGAACAGGCGAAGCTCAAGTAAAGAACCCTGTGGTATGCCACATTCCATTCGAATCGGGTCGGAGAGAGATGTTTGGACTCTAACCTCCTATTGCCGTTCGCAGAAATAGTTACCGATTCATCCTAATACTGGATCTCCGATGCCGTGGTGCAGCACGATTCGACGATACAAGCTATCGAAGGCCTTCGAAAAGTTAATGTACATAACAGCGGTTCCTGTATCTTGTCGACTGTTTCCGTCCAGTTGTCACGTGCAATCAGCAGATTCGTGGTACATGAGAACCTTTGACGGAACTTGTGCGGCTCCTGCGCGATGATAGCGCAGCTTTCCAGGTAGCCCATCAGTACGTCCGCGATGATCGCTTCCATGGCTTTGGCGGACACAGGGCGAAGCGTTACAGGGCAGCAATTGGCAGGATCAGATCGAGTTCTTCCCCTGTTTCTATGTTGATAGAACTACGTTCTCGACTAGACAACGGTGAAAAAGCCGTTAAGTGGTAGGGGCTAGGTGCATGGCTGCTATTTGTAGCGCTACCGTGAATGTTATCCGCTGCAGGAGAGCTGTGTGTAGGTAACAATAGTAACTTTTTTAACATAGTTTTTGCTGTGAATGTGATGCTGGATAACACTGATGGTGTAGTGACAGAAAAGTATAGTGATCGAGTCTTGGACCCATTGGAAAGCAGGTAAGTACCGAGCCCGTAAGGCTGTGCATGTATATCCTCCAACCGTAGTGAGTGGTGGGATTCCGCGCTGCACCTTATGTAGTCTATTCATGTATCTGTAAAGAAGCTTGTGGTTCGAACAGAAACGTTTCGCTATCTTCCGTTAGTGTGTTACCTTGTCTTCACAAACCAACTGCAGAGTAATTGCCCTGAGCTATATACACTGTCCAATTTGCTGCGCTGGGATTGTTTTGTAAACGCGCCATGTCCGATTCCTCTATGGATAAATTTTCGTGTTCGGCTTCTTAAAAAGGATTTCGGTTTGATGGGGTGATGGAAAGTTTTTGGCTCTGATGTTGTTACGACCAGCAATTTGAAGGTTTTCAAGAATCTTTCCAAGGTGAATTCTGAGGTGCACTCAGTCATGAATGTCCAACTAACCTTTTCAACAAATGCGGACAAAACCTGGTAATCTGTTGTGACGGTGATCTTGCCACTGCTCTCAGCGCCGCCAGCCCAGCCGGGGAAATAAATAGAAGACCCAGACATGCCAGATCGGAGTGTATCAGGAAAAGAACACGGTTGGTTATATAGGTCACATGCCATCAATTTCGTCTGTGGGCTTCTGGGCTGACTCACGTCATTTGTTTGGACAGATTCAATCCTGCTAGCCGTCTCCACTCACGCCGGCCGCTTAGCAACCTGTGTCATGATGGCGAACTAATTACCAGCTTTCCGCGTGACTTGCCGCGGACCCACTTCACGTCTCGAAACCGGTTGATGAAATTTTTTCGCTGTGGTCTCCCAATATAATGGGTAATAAACTGCGTCTTTTAGGGCACTGCATCGGGATATTCGGCGTAGTAAAGATAATGGAACAATGATCGTTTCGACCCAAAGGACTGCATACATTTAGCCCAGGAATCATGAGACTTGTTGTTGAACTGTAGCCGATAAGCATCAGTAGTAGATAGAAATAAGTACTACAACGATAGCAGCAATCGACGGGGATCCCTTTCCCAGGGGTTATGTCTTTGGTCCACTGTATGACTGGCCGAAATACAATGTTACACATTCCAGCTGTGGTGGATGAAGTAACGTCTAATTGCCATGCGGAGGGACCAAACATTTAAGGGTGACACGAGCCATAATGAAGCAAATGGGAACCCGTCTGGTGACTGGATAACCGGGTGATACCTGTACTATGATAGTGTAACCGATCGGCCACATCGAGAAGTTTTCCCATGGCACAAAAAAGGAAACCGTGCGATTCCTATTCCGGAAAAGTGCTGCACACATTGAAGACGCGAAGTATATTACAAAACGTGTATTGTTCCGCAATAGGATATTGTGTGGAGTATGTGAAAGGAATGAGGGGTTCGGCCTCAAGAGGATGATGTTACACATGTGCACTAAGCTAACATACTCAAGATTTAATTCCCGAAGAAGTAACGGTGGGCAACTAATGCGTATTTGGATTACAGTATAAACAACCAAGAAGATGCGCTTTAAACACAAGGACAACGTGGGTTACGCACTGTTGAAGAGCATCCAGAGAGTCCTTACAAAATCGGCGATTGATGAATAACCAGTAGCTCAAGGAATAACTAAGATAAAGTGAGGTGCATTCCTTCACTATTTGTCAGACCGGTAACAGTGAATTACGCACGAGACAAGTTGCGGAAAGTGCACTACTGTCCGATGGAAGAAAGCTTATGACATCTCTCTCACATGCAACTACCACCACGCTCCCAAGCCCTAGCTGTTTGATGGGGACAGCTGAATAGCTGAGATCGGCACCACAGTGTAATAGTTTTAACGCTAATTAGTACACAAGGGATGTTCAACTGCAGTTCGATGCCAAAGGAACATTGAAAGTCAACGGCTGCGGTTAATCGGACGAGAACACATGGCTAGAGTGCTTCTCAGTCGTGAAAAGACGTCACAAGAGAACATGAAGTATCGTGAAACTCGACCGACTACCTGATCCAGTGAAGAATTCAAAATCAAAGGGATGCCAGTGAAAATTAGTCATCAGAATTTTGATAGGATTTACCCGATGTGAAGTGGATGTAGCGTAGTTAAACCTTTTAACCAAAGCGTCTACGAACGACTGGGATCTTAGAAGCAGAGTAAGATAGGCACGACTACACTCACCGAGGGAAAGCACGGCCTCACGTATTTTGTGTATAACTCATAGACAGCCCACGATACGTTGAAATCATTCGCGTGGTTGAACGAATGTTGATCCAGTATTTTTTGCATGTCCTCTCGCTCGATGGCCGGCATGGCTTTGATTTCTCGATAGTAGTTGTTCACGCGAGTCCATTGTTTCTGAAAGTAAGAGGATGGTTAAGAAAGCAAGATTGAACCCATATTACTTGCTGAAGGCCTTCTCAAATGAAAGCGAATTTGTATCGGCGTTGTTGCTACAGAAAGATACCAAAGAACGCATCTTGGTAAGAGAGAGAAAACAGTGTGTTAGCGACAGAGGCCTATTAAGTGCTGCATAGTTTCAACATTTCACTGCAACTACGAGCTAGCCCCCTGCAAGCAGTATTTGGCAGATGCTTTAAAATCCAAAAATGGGTTAATCAGTAAGACCAAAACAGAAGAAAACCAACATTTGTGAGAGAAAATAACGAACATTGCATATGAGCGCCACAAAACGCAAACAGTAATAATCACGTTTGATGTTGATTTCTGTAAGTCAAAAGCAGCAGCACGAAGGGTTTGCTGTGGTAGCGTTGCTGAGTGCTTCTCTGCAGTTATCAGTAAACGTCACCAGATGTGGAAAACGACTTGACACAAGCATTCGGTTGGCGTTTGAATCGAGCTACTGATCTAATAGTGTGAAGTGAAAGTACGGAGGTGGATGAACGGTAGTTTGCTTAATTTCGAAATTCGCCGTCAAGTGTGCTCCGTATCAGATACCATTGTAATACGATTCTGCGAAGTCCTACCAAAGTACACAAGAACCAAGGCTGGTGTAAAGAAAATGTACTCGATCAATGATTAGGGTAGAGACTCACTGGCTATCGGATATAAGTGTAGATGAAGAAAGCGAGAAGCTTCCGCAACTCGAGCAGAGGCCGGACCTTACCATGGTTCAATAGTTTGCAAGCCTCAGAGATCCAATCAGCTATGCTGGGTGGTGCTTTTTGGCACCTTCAGAGCCACTCATACCAGATTGGTCAATGGTTAGAGGCCAGACAAACTCAGCCTCCTGCTCCTGCAGGTGGGGGGTTGGAATGAGGGTGGCGCCTTATTCCTTAAAACGGACTCCTTGTAGACCACCGCCAAACCCAGTGCCCTGCGATCAGGTTTTTGAACCAGAGGCTCTGGTTAAGAACCTAAATCGTTCTCCGGTCTAGGCCTGGGCAATCTGACAGTATCCCGCCCACGCAATACTATGAATTTCTCTTCAAACAATTTCTTGATGCTCTGGCCGTCGCGGAGCGTTATAAACGGCGCCCTATCTGCTGCATCGAGCAGGGTGGATAGGGATTGGGATGCTGTTGCTCAAGCCTTTCCGTCTTCTTATTCCTCTCTTACGCTTTTTCACAATTATCGTCCCGTTCCAACTTCACTTTTATCCCCCAAGTTTCCAGCCCGTCAATTTTTGGCCCACCCCACCTTGCTTTGATAGACATTTACCTTCTAGTTTCAACTAACACAAACGTAGTGTCACTCCTGCTCTGTCGACAAGCCAATGTACAAACAAGCTGTCCATCCCAGTTCATCGGCTTCCATTTGGAGCCCTAGATCCTCCTTCAGATTGGCATGCCTCAATGTACGCACGGCGTTACAGACCGGTCAACAGGCAGCACTTGCCCGCCCTTTAGATCCCCCTCTGCATCGATATCTGCTGCTTATCGGAGACCCGCCTGCAAGGCTCGAGCTCTGTGCTCACTCTGCGATCCCCTTCAGGTGACGCAAGCAGTATTTTCTCATTGCGCCTATCCGGTGACGAAGCAGCTTCGAGCATCGGCCAAGCTAGTGCCAGTATTTCGTTGAGTCCCCGGGCTGAAGCTACTCTGGTTGATTGGATCCAAATCAGTATGTGTGCGGTCCGAGTAACTGGCTCGTTAAAAGTTCGAAGTCGCGCCGGACTAATAGGTGTCTATTAGTCATCGCTGCTTGTACGCCCACAAACTCTAGTGACGATACGGTAAAAATCGACTTCTACCGCCAACTGACTGAGCTGCTTCGCCAAAGAAGAAGCACGGACACAGTTATGCTGACGGGGATCTGAACGCTCAAATTGGAAAATTACCCACTGATGAACTGCATCTGGGCGGCCAACATGTAGACTCGCGTAATGATAACGGTGAGCGGTTACTGAATTTGTGTGAAGATGCCCGCTTATTTCTTGCGAGTACCAACTTTTGACACAGCACCCGCCAGAGGGTGACTTGGCGCCCACCAGCTTCGTACCAGCGTTGGAGGCAAATCGATCACATTGCAATCAGTTACCGCTGGAGAGGCTGCGTCCAGAACTGTCGCTCGATTTGGAGCACATGCGTGGACACTGACCAAGCACTTGCGTGTACTGACCTGCGGATGCGCTTTGGCGAACGCCCACGACGATGGTGTGAGCGCATTTACATCAGCCAACTGACGAATCCAGCTGTTCTGAATGACTTTCAAAGTACGCTGACATGTGGGTTGAGTAAGCACTCACTGGAGACAACTGAAGGTCACTGGTCACATGTTCACCAGACCTTACTAGCAGCAGGCAAATCCTCATATGGTAAGTTTAATAGCTAACATGGACACTGGGTCTCGTTGCGGTCCTTGTAACTTATCTATACTCGACACATTCCATCTGGAAGCGAACACAATGGGACTTGCAAAGAGCTCCGGGCAAAACTCCGTGCTAGTCTGAAGAGAGACCGTGAATCCTGGTGGCCTCATCGTGCGTCAGAGATGGAAGTGGCCGCTGCCCTTGGCAACCATCGTAAGTTATTCCGTCTGATACGGGAAACTGGCAGAAGGGAATCTGGTGTTAGTGAAACAATTTATGACGAGAGTGGAAAGCCTATGGAGAACTTGTCAAAACGTTTAGGGCGTTAGGCTGAGCATTTTGAAGCAATTTAACTGACCGGAATTGTTAGATTTCTCACCGGCCAGTGATCGCCCTGCTCCGTGGGCTGTCATTTTGGATCCGTGATCTCGCTCAGAAGTCGAACGTGAGATCGAACAGTTGAAGTTGAAGAAAGCCGTGGGACAAGGTGAGCTCCATCGCCTCCAACTTACTTACCTATGTAATCCTTTACAGACTGACTGGCGCCCGTTAAAGTGAGATTCATGAGGAGCAAGCCGGGTTTCGTCGGGGTCGTGGCTGCATCGATCATACATTCACATTACGTCAGCTGTTGGAGCACCGTCACACATAGTGGCGGCCCACCCTAGTCGTGTTCTTCGACATCAAAGGTGCCCTCGATTCAGTGGATCGATGTGCACTTTGGAACTGTTTATTCAGGAAAGGTGTGCCCGAGAAATATGTAAATATTATCCGCGCACTGTACGCGCGTAGCTCAAGCAGAGTGAGGACTTAAGGCAAGCTGTCGTCGCCCTTCAGTATCTCCAGCGGTGTGAGAGAAGGATACTCGCTGTCACCTTTCTTCTTCAACTACGCTATTGACGAAGTCATGGAGATTACATTCACAGAATACGACTTAGAAGGTGTGGAGCTACTCACAGTAGAAGGAGTTCTTGACTTGGAGTATGCAGACGACATTGCCCTCATCTGTGACAGCTCACAAACGTGCCAAGCCGCGCTGAACAGATTAGCACTGGCTGTCAGCCGCTTCGGGCTTTGCTTTACACCATCGAAATGCAAAGCATTCCTCCAAGATTGGCAGGAATCGCCTCCTGCGCTGACCCTTGCTGGGGATCAGCTAGAAGTCGTTCAGAAATTCAACTACCTGGGAAGTTGTATCAGCGCCCTTGGGATCGATGATGAGATCACGAACCGTATAGCGAAAGCTCGAGACGCTCTTGTTAACCTTCACCACCTATGGCGCCGGCGCGACATCACTCTCGCCCTGAAGGATAGAGTGAATAATGCAGCGGTACGTTCGACCCTAACGTACGGTTGTGAAACCTGGCTCCCTCAGATCAGCCGACATAAAGAGGCTAGTTACGTTCGACCACCGGTGCCTTCACAATTTAGCTCACATCTAGTGGGAACACCGAGTAAGCAACGAGCGTGTTCGACGCCTTGTTTAAAGCACAGGAAAAGGAACTGGACCGCTCAACACCGTCATTTCACGCACCCCGCTCCGATGGCTCGGCCACGTGTTGCGCATGCCAGCGCACCGACTTCCGCGACGTGCGTTGTTTGCGCGCCGGGAATGTGGTTTGAAGAAGAGGAGGGGTGGCCAAGCGATGACTTGGTCCAGAGGAATGAAGGCACTCACTTCGGAGCTGGTCTCGGTTGGAGCCTCACGGCTCCCTAGTTGGAATCCAAAAGACGATGAACACGTTTGGCTGGATACACTTGCTGATATGGCTAGGAGCCGACCTCAGTGGCGTTCCTGTTGTGGGTTTCCCTGTCACTCCCCATCACTCTTAGCCTCCCCTTCAACCACGATCACATTTCTTAGTATACTGTAATTTTACATAATAATTCTTTGTTGCCTAGTACCCGCCTGATAGCTTTCCGGAACAATATCCATTTATTTTTGGCAGCTCAGCTGGTATGCAATTGTAGCACTTTTTCCTTTTTCCTTTATGTATTGCGGCACAGTAGCTGAGGTGTTTTACACCTTTAGCCAACGTGTATAATAATAAAAACACTAAAAATAATAAGGCACCTCATGCAGATTGACATTACGAGACGGATGTTCCTGTGCTACGCAGAATGCCTCGGGGTACCTGAGATCACGAGTGTTGAATACATGCCAGCCTCGCAAACTAATATCCATAGAGAGCGAAATCCCTCACCAGAAGTTTTTCAAGGATTATCGGTGACGAAATTTAAGTATAGACTATAGCCATAGAGACAGTGAAAACAATGGAGTGAATGAATAAAAATATCACCAAAATCATAAAGAGGGAATCCGATAAAAAAGTGGAGTGTCGCTTTCTTCATATGCTGTTTCGTCTTTATTTACCCGTTTAATGATGCGGTGTTGATAAGGTAAATCAAGTCATAAATGCATACATAGGTTCCATTGCGCCAAATTCCACACCATGTCCTTGAGAATTTCCAGCCAGTAGTGTTCGTCATATTTGAACCACCAGCCATTTCGAACGTTACTGGTAAGGTACCGAAAATGTCAGACACAACTTGATGTACTTGAGGTTCTACGGAGATTTGAGCAACT